AGGTATGAAATTAATCACGACGTTGCGGGCGCAACACAAGCGTCCATCATCAGGTGGGAAAGCATAAAAGGTTTGAAATGGGTGTAGCTCATGACCCTTGAGCTACACCCATTTCAAACCTTTTAAAACAGTCTGCCTCAGCAGCAGACCATGCTTTCCCACCTAATGATGGACACTTGTGTTGCGCCCGAAACTAATACTCTTTGGTTCTTTCGGTAAAGTCACGTAGGTATAAAATAAAATAGATCTATTTTGTTTGATTTTATACCTACGTGACTTTACCGAAAGAACCAAAGAGTATGAATTCCTGCAGTCACGAAAGCTTCAAATCAAGATTGAAGCTACATTCTTTATACCACTCTGCTCTGAGATTTTCCCTAGTCACCTCTTCTACAGAACACACCACTATGATATATATATCTCGCGGCTAACTTGAACTATTTGGAGGTGCGCTGAAATATTCATTGGGCTATATTCATTTGAAAAGTACAGACAGTCCACGACTTGCGAACACCTGACTTATGGACATCCGCACTTACAAACCAGATTCCATCAGATTATTTTTCATTAAACATCAGCGGAGCAATCCTCCGCGAGATGTAATGAAAGAGTGTGTGTGGTGGGTGTGTAGGTTCTCGCTAAAAGCACTTGCCATAACAGTCTGTTAAGAATATATATGGGGGTCTTTATCTTTGTGTGCGTGTGTGCAGGCATGGCTGCGCTGGCTGGGTCATGTAGCCCACATACCTAGCCACAGCATGCCCAAGCAGCTTCTGTTTGGCCGGATAGAGGGGGCTAAACGGGCACAACACAGATGCAACACGGGCTGGAAAACTAATGGAATGTGGTAAGGGAGGACATGGAGCTGAGTGGACTTAACAATGACTGGTACCAGCGGTGTGAAGATTAGCCTCTGTGGAGGAGGCTTGTGAAAGATGCTATTGGGCAGTTGGAGGCAGTTTCCTTCTAATACAATGGAGGGCAGAGGAGCGGACGCTCACAACGAGTAAAATTCCAGGCAGCTAAAATACAGCAAGGTGGCACAGTAGGGGACAGAGGTGGTGCATCTGCCAGTCATCTCAGTCAGCCAACCAATGGTACCTGGATCTGTCCCGTGACCTCCTGCCAGCGGGCATTTGATACTTCACGCGGCCTTAAAGCACACATAGCCTGGCACAAGTGCCGTGGTGATGTCACCACTACTTAGTAGCGAATGGCATTTGTTGTTTTGTGCGTGCAACATGTGTGTAGGTAGCAGTAGCGGTTAACGCACTACACTACCAGCCCGGCAACCCCAGTTGGATTCCTGCTCACGACCAACTCCAGTGATGAAGGCCATAATTGTGGAGAAATGCTCCAATTTTAGTTTTATACATTTATATTTACCTGATCTACCCCCAAAAAAATCTCTGGATAATTTTGGTCGTGAAAACCTACGTGTCAAACTTACTATACCCTATTTATTACAGCATTACATGAAAATGTGCAATATTTATTCTTATTTAAGAGTTTAACAATGCTTCCCTTTTTTAACCATAACACTGACCTATATGCATTTAAATACAGTACATTGTTGTGTTCCGACTTACGGACTGTTCACTTTACAAATGGGCCTCAGGAACAGAAGTCGAGGACTGCCCGTAATCAAATCTCAGTCTGCTCAGTATCTCTCAAACTTGCTGGTGGCTTCTAAAGTCAACCTTTTACATTCAAGACAAAGCTCAGATAGTTTTCTGTCCATCATTAAACATTTTTGGAATGCAATGAGTCATGGGCTTTCTTAATTGCGGCACCTAATTCTGGAATGAATTGATCACTAATCTCAGTAGTCCGACCCTGTCTACTTTATATGTATTGACGGCATTGCTTGATGATTACTTCTGCTACACTTGTCAAAGCCATTAGTTAAAGCCATATGTGACCAGAACTTGGGAATGCCATTTACAGAAAGACTATTAATAAAAAAGAAAAATATAAATGCCATGTGAGAGCTCCTATTATGAGTGTTATGCGTAACGTGGTTATTTTGGATTGCTCACTGTTTTTCCATTGTACATAGTTCTGGTTCTTATTATTTAAAGTCATGTTTATAACATTCCCTGCTGTTGAGCTAAACAGCCCCTGTAAACTCTCCCTTCCTATGTAATGTGCTGGCTAATGAGATGGAACACGCTCATGTATATATGTGTAGTGGTGATACGCGCTGGGATTAGGGATCGTATGCCAGCGCGTAATGATTGGCTGTGTATGTGGTGACACGCGCTGACGGTGGAGGTTCAGGGGTCAGCGCGGGGTCGTGGGTTACGGGGTACTGATTGGCTGTGGGCCGGTGACGCGCTGAGAGGGAGTGACCGGGTGGCAGCGCGGTGTGATTGGTGGAGTAGTGTTAACACGCGCTGGGGAAAACGGATCGTAGAGAGAGTGCGTCGTGATTGGTTCACTAAGGAGCGATGCTCACGTCGACGTCCGCATCAGCTCCGTCTCTCGTGAGCAGGGGCTATAAAAGGGGATACACACAGGCGTAAGGGCAGTATGTAACCAGCGAAGAATGAAGACGGGGATGAAGACATAGGGCCCTGCGGTACCTAGTCCCGCTGTCCTAACGGGACCGGGACTCTGTGTAACCCAGAGGCGAGTGTATTGTGTGTAGCCATAGGCATAGAGTCTACACGAGCCGAATGCATTGTGTGTAGCCAGAGGCATAGGGTCTACACGAGTCAAGTGTGTTGTGTGTAGCCAGAGGCATAGAGTCTACACGAGTCAAGTGTATTGTGTGTAGCCAGAAGCATAGAGTCTACACGAGTTAAGTGGAGTGTATAGTCCAAAGGATAGAGACCACCCGTTGTATTGTGACACGTCAAGATTTAATACAAGTGTGTTACCCGTCAAGAAGTTCCTGCCGTCAATTCAAATACTTCAAATGTAATAAACGACTCTGTCAGGCTATCTTGGTCTCCGTTGTCGTTTATTTAGGTTCTTCGTATCGCACTCCGCTGGTCCTCGGCCGGACCCGCGCCGCCTCCGCCGCGCGCCCCGCGCACGCTCCGTGTGGCCCGCACTCGCTGGTGGCCGCTCCTCTCTCCGTGTGCCCCGCACACGCCGCCAGCCACACTGCTCGCTCCGTGTGCCCCGCACACTCCGCTAGTCACTCACTAGCCACGTGTGCCCCGCACACTCTGCTAGCCCCTCACACACCGCTAGCCCCGTCTACCCCACGCACACCGCTGGCCGACGGTGTGCGTAGGTCTTCGACCACGTGGCAGATGGCGCCGCTCCTTCCGCACTGCCAAGCGTGGCTTCCCCTATTCTCGCTCCGTTCCAACTCCTCGATCTCTTCCGGCTCTCTCCCTATATCCTTCCCATCACGTGACCCTGACTCCTCCTTCCCGTACTGCCCCCATCTCCGCCCCCCGTTCACCTCGTCTCCCATTGGAGCCGAGGTGAGCAGTGGCTCCTCCCACACGCTCCGCCGACCAGGCTCCGCCCCCCAATGCTCCGGGCCTTGTGATTGGCGCGGAGGCCAGCAACCACCCCATTTATGCTCGCATTACATATACATAGAGGTCTGATGCGACATGTTATGCATATGTATGTCAGGTGTGCTCAAATAGAGCAAGTCAAGATCTATAAGTATCTTGGGGTCATCCTTGATTCAAAACTGAATTGTGAAGATCATATTGATTATATTGGTAAAAAGACAAGCGCTGTTTCCCCCCTATGTTCCGTTTGGAATTGATAAAAGCTACCATACTGCCTCTACTTGATTACTGTGACATCGTATATAAATCAGCCCCTAGTACTGTACTGAAGAAGCTTGACTCAATTTATCACTCGGCCTTAAGATTTGCATTGAACTGTCCATATAGGACCCACCACTGTGATCTCTACATTGGGTCAAACTTAACATCTCTTAATGTTCGACAGCTTGTGCATCAGATCTTATTTATTCACGATGTACTTACAAAAAAATCTGCAGACTACCTGCTGGATCTCCTCTCTGTTTCGAAGAACAAATGTGACCTAAGGTCTTCGCTCATTTACCAGCTTCACATTCCTTATTGCCGTATAAATACTGGAGGAAGGACCTTTGCTATTGATGCCCCCAGGGTCTGGAATGCTATAGCCAATAAACTGCAACTTGGATCACTACCTGTGAGATCTTCACTCAAAACTGCTCTAGAGGAGTTGTACACCCCTAGCTGCCACTGCTATTCAGTTGCCTGAAATCAAATGTTTCGCTCCGGATGACCGCTGCAAAGTATGATCTTGTGTTTTGATTATAGTGTGCTGATCTTAAAGGTGATACTCCTACTGATACTCCTGCTGTTATGGAGTGACTCATGCAGCCAGCTATGGCTGAAAAGTTTGGTAGTACATGTTATATATATCGTTTATTGTAAAATTTCAATCACAGTTCCTATGATCACTGTTACATTGCTTTTATAGCTTTATTTTGGTGATTTCTAAAACGTTTTGGTTTAGCCATATTTGTTTGTTGTAGTACAGAGTTAGACTGATAACTTTAATCCAAATTGTCTTATGGTTGTTATTGTTTGACTTGCATCCCACTGGGATTTTTGCACACAGCATTGATATATGGTGCTTTTTCTGGAAGACTTTGCTGTTTTTTCCTGGATTTTTCTGTTCATGTTTTTGTTTGTTGCGGTTGCACCCGATTCAAGAGCCGAATGGCTCACAGGGCTATACCAAATAAATAAAACTGAATATTCATATGGATAGCATATAAGAACAAGCACTAGGGCATACTGAGAACTCCTTAAAGTCTGTAAAGTTACCAGATTAATTAAATGTGTTTTTACGTTATACAAGGCATAACGTTACAGCTACCGCCGTACCAGCCATTATGTGTAGTCCCTGTAAATATTCCCAAGCCATGTAACTTGATTGCCGCTTTGACCCGGTTGCCACTGAAAAAGAGCATCTTAGTTCAATGGGCCCTACCTGCAATCAGCCCCCGACTGAATCGTACGTCCACTGACCTGCACGAAGTGGTTGGGCGCGTCGCTGCAGACAACGTGACTCTGGCCATCAAGGATGGGGATGACCTTTGCGAGAGGGAGCCACTCTGCCGAGATGCTTCGCACAAAAGTACAAATATGACGAGCGATAAAGATAATCCGAGTACAAGGCATTGCCATTACTATTTGTATACGGTTTTACTTTACACACTATTTTCACAAAGTAATTATCTGTGACTTTTTTTGCAAACATAACAACGCTCAAGTAAATATTCACTGTGGCCACCACGTTAATGTAACCGCATGTCATCAGATCCTTCCGTAGTTGTGTGCAACTAGTAAAAGTAAGAAGAGCCTCCTAATGGCAAATGGTACCCACACAGAATGGTAACAGTGATTTTTTCATTACAGCATCACTCATACCAATGGCATCCACAGACTTAGGAACAACCCAATGCTCTAAGTGCCACAGCCACCAAGCAGCACACTGTGAATGACATGTAGAGAGAGTGAAGATGGCTGTTTCTGTTCTGCCTACTTGCCACTGAATCAGCTTGATCAGCATCAATGGTTCGATTCCCACACCTGAATTCGGAAAGATTATGGAGGTGGTGGAACGTACCCCATCATGTTCCGCCCTCCGGTAATCTGATCCTGCCGAAAAGACTCCGCTGCTCCATCAATGAGACGCAAAAAGCCTCGGTCCAGACATGCACGTAGCACGGTCCAGAAATCCATGCTGTGTACGCAGAGGGGAAGTGGGGAAGCACGGCTAAGTTTGCATGGTCGCTCAATAGCCGTTACCTGTCCATCACATCCCTCGTCTCACTCAGGTCCAATACACAAAGTTCTTGCCACAAATTAACCACAATACCTTGCTGAAGGAAAGTTCTTCTTTCCGATATTAGAAAGCCATTGGAGCTATGCACTTTTAAATATAGATTGAAAACGAATTTCTTTAGAACTTATTTTTGTGTTTAGGTTGTTGTCATTCCCTCACACCTCCGATGAGCACGGTTGGCTACGTACGGTGCGAAAGTTCAATATACATACGTACATCATGTCCCTCATCTCCCTCAGGTCCCCACACTATTACCTGTCCATCATGTCCCTCGTCTCACTCAGCATCTTCTGGGCAGTCAGCTCTTCCTCCCTGGAGCCACACACCTGCACAGTAACGAATGCCTAGATATAATCTTTGTCAGCATCATTATCGTCATCTCCACACGTGATCAATGTCATGTTATATTCAAAAACAATCGTCACCGTGTTTTTTGTAATGTACGTATATAATAACATTTGCCAAGGAAAGGCTAAGATTCCAAAGAACACAGGATGAGATGTTACTATCCTTTGTGCAAGCACTTCCAAGAGTTCATGAACAGTGAGCCTGGTGAAATTTGGGGAGCGCATCGTCAGTAGCGACCCTTTGGTTCCTAGGGTGTTTCGGCCTTTCATACTATACACCCTCCCCAAAGGCGGCCAGCGACAGGGTGATCAATCCTACGCTTGCGTCCCATTCCCAATTAGTCATAGGAGTTGCCTTGTTGTTGGTAGCCAACATCCCATGGGACTATGCATGGCAGGGGCGTCCTCCTCCCTGAGTCAAGCATTGTTGACTGCATACCTCCTGGCCCTCTCACTTTGGGGCCCAGCTGGGGTCTTTCCTCTTCATCCAGAGCCACTGACTGCTGCCTTCTGCCGCCTCCGATACAGCTTTGATTGCCGAACGCTGGCTCTGGCCCTTAATTCCCAGGTCTCTAAGCAGTCTGGTTGTAGATGTTGCCACAAAACCTCTGCAGCCCACCTCCACTGGTCGGACTTCTGTGTTCCAGCCATGATGCCGTGCTTCGGCAGCTAGATCAGCATAGCGCAGATGTTTTCGCTCATAAGCCTCATCTACTGAGTCCTCCCAGGGTACTGTGAGCTCAATGATGAAGACCTTCTTGAGCGAACGGGACCAGAGCACCACGTCAGGTCTTAGGGTGGTGGTTGCGATCTCCGGAGGAAACACAAGTTGCCGGCCAATGTCAGCTAGCATTTTCCAGTCGCGGGCCAAGCGCAGCTGGTCTCGCTCTATTGGTGTAGAGCCGCTCTTCGGTGGTTTAGCCCCTTCGCGGACAAAGGTCGTCCGTAAGGGGTGTGATGCTGCTGGGGGTGGTAGGGAGTTGGTGGCAGCTCGCTTGTCCTCCAGGGCGGACGCAAGGTTTTTAAGGACTTGGTTGTGACGCCAAGTGTAGCGTCCTTGGGTGAGGCTTGTTTTACACCCTGTGAGAATGTGCCTGAGGTTGGCTGGCATGGAACAGAGGGCACAGTCCGGATCTTCACCATACCATTGGTGAAGATTAACTGGTGTTGGAAGGATGTCATATGTTGCTCTGATGGAGAAGCTCAACCGCCTCGCTTCCGTGGCCCACAGATCCTTCCAGCTGATCTTCCTCTTCTCCACACTGTCCCATCGAGTCCACTGTCCTTGTTTGGCAAGAGAGACTGCCTTGGCCCACCTTGCAGCCTCCTCCTGATGGCGTACTTCCTGCACTACCATCTTCCGCCGCTCTGGTGCAGTGGCCTTACTCCAAGCAGCACGGCTAGTTAGCCCAAGGCCTCCTCTCCCTTGCTGAACATGACCCACAATGTCAGCATGTCTGTGGGCTGTTGTTGCCTTCTGGACTGCTTTTCCTGGCCTCCATTTGCGCCCAGTTGCCAAGGTCGGCGCGTTGTTGCTCACCACTGGGTCTCGAGATTCATTCAGTGTCATCTGGAGCCTGGTTTTTGCACACTTGAATTCCTCGGTTAGACTGGTGAGGGGCAGCTTGAGGACATCATCTCCATAGAGGCCTATGGTGGTAAGGCATCGTGGAACTCCGAGCCACTTCTTTAAGTAGTTCGTGGCTCCTCTTTCCATCTTCTCCACTGTTGAGATTGGAACCTCATACACTGCTAGGGGCCACAACACCCGGGGTAGGAGACTGTTGTGTATGTACCCCCTTTTTATTTTTTTTTAATATTATTTTTTTTAAGGCTTATTCTGCCATCATATATAATATTGTTTTTTTTAATAGACACGGGGCCACGTGGGAACGAACACGCCCCCACACTTCCACAGAGGCCCCCACACTTCCACAGATGCGCGCATACCTCATTTCAAAGGAAAGACGGCATGAAAGAGGGTAATCAAGGTCATAAACTCCCCGAATTTCACACAAGAGGAACAAGGGAGGGGGGAATTGCAGGCGGGGGGTTGCAGAACCAGGAGACACGGAGGAAGAGATAATTATATTCTTAACAAAGAAACAGCATCGACGACAAAAAGCACAGATGGGTCTTTGAACCATGTTAAATACACAAGTTACCAACTCAACCATAAAGATTAAGCAAACAGTATCCATCCTCACTCCAATTGAAAACCAAAAGACAATCTGCACCAGAATCGCGACCCATCATTGTTAATTAAGTACTGACATTATTTACCTTTAAAGAATATCTACACGGCCGGGCCGAAGCATCAAAGAATAATTAGGGCATCTATTTCGCTCCAAAACAAATTCCTAGCCGGGATATCAGATCAAATAATCACAAGAAGTCGAATAATAAGTACGGAATTAAAATAGAAGAGGAATCAAGGGCGGAGAAGGCTCTCAAAATTAACCAAACACAACACCCATGGGAAGCGAGCAACACGACCGCCTTTGTCTTTCCGAGAGGATCTCCACACACAGGCACCAAGCCAGGAAATGACACCCATAAAGGTTGGGTCACGATGAAACATCGTGAACACGGTTTCGGCATAACTGTGCAGATGGAACCAAGCAGCAAATAAGTTGCATTTCAACTTCCAAACCAAACCAACTTAAGCTGTGTGAGACAAAGGATGTGATCCCAGAGCAAGGGAGGTAATAATTAAGCTCGCTTAACGCGTAAGTTTTCGCGACAAATATTATTCAGTAACAAAACATGGATTCGAATGTTTTTTTTATAACTCGACGCGAATCATCGGTCTGGCTAATGGATAACTTTGGTGGCACCGTCACGAGACCCCCACCCCTTTCTTCCAGAACGACACACACAGCTGTGTCTTCAAAGCTAATAAACACACGGACAAACACGCACGCGAAACACACGGACGGACACACACACGGACGCAGATGGTCCACCCCCACAGGAAGGTTTTATGACACAGCCTTTGAACAACTCGGGAAGCCGAGTGGAATTTTCCGATATAAACCGAAGGAAAATCCATACAAAGCATATCGTCCGGGCTTCGGCTCCAACACACATATCATCCGGGCTACGAGCCCATCTTCGGCTCCATCACAGATCGTCAGGGGCTCTGGCCCCCATCACAGGGTTCGTCAGGGGCTCTGGCCCCCATCACAGAGTTCGTCAGGGGCTCTGGCCCCCATCACAGAGATATCGTCCGGGCTTCGGCTCCAACACACATATCATCCGGGCTACGAGCCCATCTTCGGCTCCACCACAGATCGACAGGGGCTCTGGCCCCCATCACAGATCTCCAGGGCTGTGGCTCCATCTCTCCTTGTCGCCGCCAACGAAGAAGCTCCTGTCATTCAGAATGACGAGGTTTGCGGAGTAGCGACGCGTAGCTACAAGCCGAGGTCTGCACCACCTGAGAAGAATCGCTACCCTGAGTCGCAGAGTTGCGAGTGAAGCCAACAAAGACGCCAACGTCCACCCTGCCACGAACGAAGCATCGCTCCTCGTCAGAGTGACGACCAGCGAACAACCCGCAGGAAAGGCGGAGATCGCTGAAAGAGCGCCAACGAGCAACAACCTTGCGCCACCGTGCGCCACCTTGCGCCACCTTGCGCCGCCGTGCGCCTCCGCGCGCCATCGAGCGACAACGAGCGACACCTTGCGCCACCGAGCGACACCGAGCGACACGAGCGACCGAGCATCTTCAAGGACAGCATCGTGCCAACTCGTCATCTAGCAGTAGAAAGAGAGAGCGCACGAGCAGCACCAAGCCCCCGGAACCATCAAGCGCCAAGCAAGCAAGTTTCTTCAAGGAACATCGTGCCAACGCCGCTCAATCCAGCAGTGGAGAGAGAGAGGGAGAGCAAAGCCGAGCGACACGCCGAGCGAGGGAGCAGCAGGAGCTGTTCGTATCCTCCCACACCACACAAGCTAACGACACAATTAATATTACGAGGGGACAACGCACACACAGCACGCACACGAATAAGACTTTAAAAGAAAACTGTCTTTTCGTTTAAAAAAGGGTTGCCATTTCGAGGTGGTGCGTTCAATATCAACTGATCGTGCAAAGCAGTTGCTGCCGTCGAGTTACATAAATGCATAAGAGTTTTCGTTATTCATATTGCATAATTGCATAATTTCGCAACTGCATAAGTTTTTGTCGTTCATATTAGTTAATTGCATAATCTTGCCCATGAATTATTGACGCATGTTTGACCTGCATGATAGAATGTCACGTGCTTGTTAGAATAAAATTGTTATCACAGAAGCATATCGAGTGTTCTTTCCAAGTCCATGCAAAACCATCTTATTCATAAGAGCTGTATCCTGCGATGAGATATGAAAATGGAGACCTAAAATATTATAACACACACTAGGATAATCGGTAAATGAATCTATGATAATCGTGTTATCCTGATTGATAACTCTGGATAAACGAAAGCAAATTATCATAACTGCACACATTAACATAATCGCAAGCCTCCGCATAAATTACTACGATTATCTCCGTGATTATCATAATTTATGCATATAATCACACGCATTATCATAATTCATGCATATTAATACACACACTATCATAATTAATGCGATTTGCGCATTTTTCGGAAAATTATTAATTTTTATTATTTTCATCAAAATTTCATAATCACAACACATACAACATAATGGGGGCTCGTCCGGGATCTCTCGCAGACAGTGTTTTGCATGGATGATGGAATGAATCACTTCGTGTTAACCAGAATATCAGGATCGAACATTGCATGGTGATTGTGAACGGGCGGAAAACTAAAAAACGCCCTCTAAGGTTAAAACCCAGAATAGCAGGTTAAAACAGAGACAGTGGAATTAAGATAATATCGTATCAAACCAATTGCATCCTCTGATAAATGGTGTTAGAGGTACGCACTCTGAATCGGAAAATAACAGATAGCTCGAGTCAAATTGAC